CCAAGGTAACGTGGACAGAAAAAGGACCAAAATAGCGAGACCTATGCCTGATTCGAGCATCAGATTATTCGGCCAATGGTTGGTACGTCACGACTGGACTGAAGTCTTATCAGCCATTAGTGCTCAGGCAAAGACAGACGCCTTCTACCAGACAATACACGACAAGATCGACCAGTACTTCCCCTAAAACTATACAAACTTCATACCAGCGACAAACCTTGGATAAGTCCGAGAATTAAGACCCTCATCCAACATCGACAACAAGCTTTTAAAGCACGAGATCACGACAAGTACAAGTCACTCCGTAACAAGGTACAACAAGAAATCAAAAAGGCAAAGGAAAACTTCTACAAAAACAAAGTGAACAATATGAAAAAAGAAAACCCCTCAAAATGGTATCACCAGATCAAGGCCATGACTAACACGCAGGGAGCTGGACTCACTCTCCACGTCGATGGAACGCCACCTGAGGACAAGAAGGCCATCGCCAATGCAGTAAACGACGCTCTGTGCACCATCACGTGCTCATTAGACCCTCTGGACACAACCAGTCTGCCTTCATATCTCCCGTCAAGACCTGTAGACGAGATACAACCATGGCAAGTGTACGATAGGCTACAACGCATTAAAGTAAGAAAGGCTGCGGGACCAGATGGACTCCCCAATAGGATCATCAAGTGCTTTGCCTACGAAATCTCAACCCCATTAACATCCATTCTGAACGCCACACTATGTGAGGGGGTTGTCCCGGAACAGTGGAAGCAGGCAAACATTGTACCTTTACCCAAAACGCGCCCGCCGTCCATCAATGACCTAAGGCCAATATCCCTGACACCTACTCTAGCCAAGGTTGCTGAAACCTTCATTTCATCACAACTATATACCGACATCAAACCCATGATTGACCCAAACCAGTTTGGATGTCTTCCCGAACGTTCAACAACACATTGTCTCGTAGACATAGTTAACAAACTGGCCAAGACTGCAGACAAGAGAGGAACAATCACAACATTGGTCACAACTGACTTCGCTAAAGCATTTGACCGGGTCAATCATACTTTAGCCGTCTCAAGCCTACTCGAGTTGGGTCTAAGAAGCTCATTAGCTCGATGGTTACGTTCCTTTCTCACCGCCAGAAAGCAGAGAGTGTCATACAAGGGAACTTACTCGGACTGGAGGGAGACCAGCTGCGGGCTACCACAAGGAACCGTCCTTGGACCCCTGATTTTCCTCGCCTTATTAAACAGCGCATGTGAGTACGCCTCAGCTAAGCGATGGAAATTTGTTGATGACCTTAACTTAGCTGAGAGCAGGATGATCGGGGACGCGTCTACCATACAAACTGACCTTGACCACCTCGACGAATGGGCAACATCAAGAAACATGCAGTTACACCCAAAAAAGTGCAAAGTCATGCACGTGTGCTTCCTAAAAACACCACCACCGCTACCAACCCTTTCCATCGCCGGTGAACCGTTAGCTGAGGTGAAGACAGTGAAACTGCTTGGTCTGTACCTCCAGGCCGATCTCGGTTGGACTGCACATGTGGACCATATCGTCAAACAAGGCAACAGAAAACTATTTATGCTAAAACAACTCAAACAATTCTGTCTATCCCGCGATGACCTACTTACCTGTTACAAAACTTTCTCGGTTGGGTTAAGGCGGCCTAGGCTGATATTCATGTTCGAGTTCGGACGTGTGTCTGCACGATTGCCACATACATGTTTCGAACCCGAATCATGTTCCACCATGTTCGATATGACGTCATTCGAATAGAACGCGTGTTCGAATTCGGGGTTAACGGCGGTCATTTGTATGTTTCCCCTGTAAACCCGCGTTGTTACGCATTTTATTCACGGAGTATGACCTAAACGGCTTTACGCGCAGCTGAAAACAGCATAATTCATCTTTAGAGTAATCCATGTTTACGTATTATCACTTTTTTATCAAATTTGTCCGAGGCTATTTTGCATATAAGTCGAAATCTTTTAACTGTGGCGATTTTTTAACGAAAAATGACAGAAAAATAGCTGTTTCTGTCGTTTTTGGCCCAAAAAAACAATGTAACTGTCATTTAAAACAAAATAGCCTCGGACAAAAATAATAAATAGGGGGTTGGCTTTCTACTTGTAAAATATCATGATGAAAGGTGTTGTTACCACTTGCGCGTAAAGCCATGAAGAAAACAGCTTTTTTTAAACCAAAATGTTGATTTTTAACCCAAAAATTCAGAAGTAGTAAAAACAAAATAACCTTTATTCAATGTGTTTCAAGTACTACTAGAACTGTGTGAAGTTAAGTTGTGGTGCGACCAAGCTATCAAAAGTTACAGCCATATGTATGAAATACTAATCATAGTTGGCCATAGGCTGCCTTAACCCAACCGAGGATCCGCAAACCTTTGGCAGCCTGGGTGCCACCCTCCATAGTTACTGCTGGCTCCCTATTGTCACTACCTAATGGACTACAGAGGATGGTACCCAGGCCAGAGCCTTGGAGGAGGTGATTTTTTTTAGAACAGGTGAAAATCAATGCACGCACGTCATAGGTAATTTCAGGTGGATTAAAGACTTGTGTGAACTAGCACGTCGGCAGAACGTACTGCACCTGCGCGAAACCCGTAATGTATTGTACATAGCACTTCGGCAAAACGTCTCATATAAGGTTGTATTCGCTCATATAAGGTTAGCATTTCGACAGTAGTTTCCAAATGTTATGTCGGAAAGAATATCCTCTGCAACAGGCAAAATTCTGATGCAACGTTGACCAAAAACCCAACGAAAAACGCGAAAATACGGGGTTCTGCGCAGGCGCAGTACGTTCTGCCGACGTGCTGTGTGAACTGACCTGCTCCAGCCCGTGAGTGCCCAGCCCTGCACTGTGAGACTGGAGGGAATGTTTTCCAGCTGAGACAGCCACGCCATGTGGTTCTGTATGTGGTAGTTGATGGGAACAATGTACTGGGAACTACCGGTAGCACCTGAAGGGAAACATTGGTCACTTACATTGATGAAGTTTAGACATGCTTTGTAGAACATCACCTAATACAAAATAAAGCAAGCAACTGGATAAATTCTCTGATAAGTCAGATATTTTAGATAAAACAGTAATACAGATACATGTATATTTGTTTCAAAACAAATGGGATCACTAAAAAATTAAGACAAAAGACAAAAGCATGGTACCTTTAAAAGCTGTCCCTATCCATGCTGACTTGAAGACAGCAGCATACTTCTTCCACAGTTCTTCAAAAGAAACTGCAGTGTGTACAGATTTGATTAGTTAGCCTTTAATGTTAAGTGGTTATGGAGAAATCTTTGTACGGCATCACTTGTCTACATGTAAACACATAACAAGTCTAGCAACTAAGGGAAACTTTTTCTGTGCTTGAGATACAATTTAAATATAAGTACATGGCATGGCATACAGGAGTTGTAGACTGCATGTACAAAAATTGCATTGATCATGAGCGCAGACTTATTTACCAGTGATGAATGTTCCAGACAGCCTGGGCAGGTAACACCACACCATGGGCTCCACCATCTCACCTATTCCATAGGCTGATAAGGGCAGATGCAAGAATTTATGGTCATGCATATGCCAGAAACACATACAATATAGCACGTCGGCAGAACGTACTGCACCTGCGCGAAACCCGTAATGTATTGTACATAGCATTTCGGCAGAATGTCTCATATAAGGTTGTATTCGCTCATATAAGGTTAGCATTTCGACAGTAGTTTCCAAATGTTATGTCGGAAAGAATATCCTCTGCAACAGGCAAAATTCTGATGCAACGTTGACCAAAAACCCAATGAAAAACGCGAAAATACGGGGTTCTGCGCAGGCGCAGTACGTTCTGCCGACGTGCTATACAATATACATTGTAATAGTGCAACAACTCAACAACTCAGTAATAGATGGATGGATCAGACAAATGTTGAAGAGTCTGCGTGAATGGTAGTGATTATGTACAAAATGTAATTGTACAATCTTTAGCCAAATTAACTACCAGACTAAGTATTTTTTAAAAATAATTGCAAGGGCCTCTGATGATCTTCTCAACTAGCCTGGGTGCCATCCGATTTGTAACGGCTACCCCAAAAAAATCTTTCCTTTTCTTTCAGTATTCTTGTAATTTGCGAGGACCTCGGACTTCTTTATACTGAAGAGTGAGTGCTATTTATTTATTTTATTCACTTTCATTTTCTCTGTCTTGTGTTATGGCTGTGGATGTCTGAGTTCAATATGAAAGAGTCATAATAGTGAAAATGCTATTATATATATATATAATAACAAAATTGTTCTCAGAAAGCCCCGACACGGCCACACCCACCCTGCAGATGAGCCATGCTGGTTTCCCTCAACATGTCGTCCCACATGATGGCCTTGACCTTGGGGTACATGACCTTGATGTAGCTCAGGACCGTCATGATGTGGTCCAGGAACAGCTGGCGGTCCGTCCACATCTGCTCTGCCATCCGCAACTTACACGTCTTACACAGGGCCAGGTGGAACACCTGAAACACACATACATAAAGGTCTTACACAGGGCCAGGTGGAACACCTGAAACACACATACATACAGGTCTTACACAGGGCCAGGTGGAACACCTGAAACACACATACATACAGGTCTTACACAGGGCCAGGTGGAACACCTGAAACACATGTACATAAAGGTCTTACACAGGGCTAGGTGGAACACCTGAAACACATATACAGTACATACAGGTCTTACACAGGGCCAGGTGGAACACCTGAAAAGTCACATACATACAGGTCTTACACAGGGCCAGGTGGAACACCTGAAACACACACGTCTTACACAGGGCCAGGTGGAACACCTGAAACATACATACATACAGGTCTTACACAGGGCCAGGTGGAACACCTGAAACCCACATACATACAGGTCTTACACAAGGCCAGGTGGAACACCTGAAACACACTTACAGGTCTTACACAGGGCCAGGTGGAACACCTGAAACACACATACACACAGGTCTTACACAGGGCCAGGTGGAACACCTGAGACACTCATAAATACAGGTGGAATACCTAAAACACACTTAATGCTACATGTCTTACACAGGGACAGGTGGAACACCTGAAACACACACATCTTACACAGGAGGCAGGTGGAACACCTGATACAAATTTACGCTTCTTAAATACACAGGGCCAGGTGGAACACCTGAAACACCTTGTGATTAAGTTTGCCATATGTATCAACAGCTCATACAGGCAATCAAACTGATGTTTGATTGACATAACAGTTGTACACAGAAGGATGGATGTTTAGTAGACATACCTCATCAGCACCTATGTGCAGGTATTTAACATCAGGGTGTGCTGCCATCAGCTGATCAATCATCTTCTTCACTACTTCTAATGACTCTGAGAGAGAAAAAACAAACGATGTCAAACCATGTCAAGAGAAACTGTTCACTCAAAAAGGACAGAGAAATGAAAGACATGAAGATATTGATCTGACTTTGACTTTATTGACATTTCATTAAATACAACACATTAAACTGAGGGCCTGCAAGCCCTTTTTCGTAAGGCGTAATCAGGCCATTTTAGACTTCGTAATTCGTAGGCAGCCTCCGCAAAAATCAACGTAATTCGTAATTGGACATTAGCCACAAATCGTAAAGTCGTAATCAGCTCTGAGACTTTAATGTAATTCGTAATAGGCGGCGAAAATTTTGCGTAATTCGTAATCACTACCCCCCCCCCCTTCGCAGGCCCTCCTGACTAGCTGGTATAATGTGGCCACATCTGAAGTGGCCAGTTCTGCTGTAGTGTGAGAGAGAAGCCCACCTGTGTTGCTGGGACAGAGAGCCATGGGGTACATGTCCACCTCTCGCAGGTGTTGAAATGTGTCATGTTTCAGCACAAACTGTGGAGGGATAAATCTGTGGATAAGTGATGTGCCCTGAAGGGATTAAACAGTTGCTTGGCACACATAGCTATTGTAGGAAAAACACGTATGAAAGAAATTAGCCGAGTCAATTTAACACAATCTCTAATAGGAATTGTGAAAAAATTATGCTACAAAGAATTGGATTGAATTCTTCTTCTTCTCACCCTGACGCCTTTAGGCCTTAGGTCTGTAAGTTGTCAGCATCTTGGTCAGTCTTTTCCACTCTGTTCTACCGGTATCTTCAGCTATCTCTTTAACTACTCGGAATTAAGTCTGGCTCTTCTCGTCTTGTGATTTCAATGATCTGGTCCAACCATCTTTTTCTTGGCCTGCCGACTGGTCTTTTCTTTTTGGGTTTTCAATTTAAGATTCTTTTCACATCTCTATCTTCTGGCATCCTGTGTAGGTGTCCAAACCATCTCAGTTGGTTTCTTTCCACAATGGAGAGTACTGACTCAACTGAAAGTGCACCGCGGATGATGTCACTCCTGATTTTGTCTCTTTTTGTGACACCATAGATGAGTCGTAACACTCGCATTTCAGTAGCTTGTATCCTACTTTTTAGTTTTTGAGTTAGAGTCCAGATTTCGCTTCCGTATAACAATACAGGTCTCAATATTGTAGTATAAATACAGGTTTTAACGTCTCTGGGTATGCATTTTTCTTTCAGTAGAGGATAAAGGGCACATAAGTTCTTAGTGAATTTGGTGATCCTGTTGTTAATCTCCTCTTCAGTCATATTATCGGAGGTCGCAGTGATGTGATGGATTGAATTCTATCCTATTAAATCATTAACAGAAGGAAATTTGAACATCCTTGGTGTCAAGGTCTTTTAAAGTGACAAAGTATATACTTTTTGTGCATCTTACCTCAAAGTGGCCGAAGGTTTGCACCAGTGGCACATACAGCATGTCATGTTCCTTTGCTAACTCCTGGAGCTGTCGAATCTCTTCCTGGCTGCAGGACAAAAGCAAAGGGATCAACAAATGTGTGACAGAGGTTTAAGCATGAGAAGTACATGTACATGTATTAGTATATAACATTATGTTCCACCCTTCCTGAACTATATATGGGGTACCTAAAATGAGGAAATGCACAGCGTGAGTTCCTTGCGACACACAGTTTGCATGTTCATGTTTTTCCTAATGGTGCTCGAATTTGGCATGAGCATGTCTTTCCTCGCGGTACACTGATTTCACACGTTTAATAGTGAGAAAGGGCAGTGGCACGGCAATGTCGTGAGGAACTTCACGTCATGCATTTCCTCATTTTAAGTACACCATATATACCTACCTACCTGTAGGCATGTGCAGCGGCCAGATCTCTCAGCTCACCATTGTATGGAAACGTGTCCTCATACTCAACAAGCAGTCCTGTTGCACCAAACTTCTTAAACAGGGGGATGACCTGAGGAAAGAAAATTCATTAAAATCTTTTTAGACACCCTTAAAATTGTGGCACATTGTATTACCCATGTACATAATAAGCAAAAGAAATCTATCTATGGCAATCACTCGATATCTTTATTTGCAATCAGATACAGATTCACGTACAGGTACATATTCATTCACAGATACAGATTCATGTACAGATATACAGATTTTCTGAGTAGGATGACCGTGTCAGTCCCTACACCTGAGTGAGGGTTACAGTTGACACAGCGGCCTTCGCGTGGGTTTGTTTAAGGTGGATAACAGGTTGCGAATCTGAGACCCACACACTTGGGCACCCGTCTTTCCCAGCGGATCCACATCGAGGGAGACATGCTGGTTCCGGTTGGGATGCTTGCAGCGAGCTGCCGGATGACTTGGTTACGCTCAAGGTCCGCCTTCACTACGCCAGCCTGCCTGGCGCTTCTCTCGTCCGCCAGCTGAAGACAACTGCCGTTGGAGACTTGTCCCTCTATTTGAGGGGGGAAACGTGTAAAGTGCCTTTCCCAAGGGCACAACGTAACGTCGGTGCGCATGTTCGGACATGCCCCTGTGTTCTGACCCGGAATCGAACCCGGGGCTCTTTGTTGAGCGCCGAACGCTCTGTCCACTGCGCCACGCGACGCCACAATTGAAATCACCAAAAGAAATCACATCCTATTGAAAAGTTAACAGGGCAGCCTGCTGTGAAAGCTAGTACATGTACTTGCCAGATGAAAGACAATTTTGTGATTACATGATAAACTTTTACCACATTGCTAAACGAGGCCATGCAAAGATACTCACCTGAGCCAGATAGCTGAGTTTGGGAGGAGCACCCTTCAGATCAAGGTGGACAAGTCTACGAGTGGAAAGATAAACAACACAATGTAAATGTCAACAAAAACAAACTTCCCACACATGCGCATGCATGTTGCTATATCATTATAATATGTCAACTAATAAGTTACAAAACACTTGTCAATCAGACATCATCACATCTGCTTGGAGGGTATGATCCACTGAATACATGTATATGAAAGTGATATTGATAAGAAAGTTTATCGCAAATACATGCCTAAGGGTTAATTGCAAAAACAAACAACATGTATGAAAAGGAAGGTACAGTGATATGGGGTTCTACGTGATACTACATATACTACAACATACGTGGTACTAATTTTGTTGGGCATAACGTTATATACATGACCATAAACTACCATATAAAGTACCATAAAATATAAGCTCAGATTCAACCCCATATAATATCTGACCTGTGTTTGGGATTCTGTCTTTCGGTACTGGCACCAGCCTGGCTGGAACTGCTGACACCTTCTTCTGTCTCCATCGCTTCTTCTCCTGATATACTTAAAGAAACTGAACCTGTCAAGAAACAAAGGAAGTAGGGAGTTGATTGTATTGCCATACATTAAGAAGGCAATGCAGGCATTGGGAAGATTGAACTGTAAATTTCTGTATGTGGCAATAATATTTACTTGGGAGTGTGTATATCCGGAACTTAGCGTCATTCAACTTGATTTAAAATGACACTAAGTATCTCTTTTTTTTCCATGAATTTCTATCAATTATTGGGCCCGAAGATATTATTACATCATATACTAGTTTTAATGTATATGCAATCTACAAACATGACAAATAAGATCTCATTCGAAACCTTTAATCACCAAATCACTATAACCTCATTGCCCAAAGAAACCAAGTATAGATCTGTTTGTATGTGTCTGTAACAATAATGTCATGTCACAAGTTCGATCATGCACAGATCAAGCATACCTTCCTCTTTCTGTGATGATGACGTGACCAATGCCATGAACAAGTAGTCGGGGTTCTGATTGAACGATCCTAACTGAGAGCCAAGTCCTCAACTGCAACGTAATTCAGTCGTAAAGAGCATCGCAACGTTCTTTTTTACCTGCAAATGTGTGACAACACACAAACACCTTGCCTCGGGGGGCGTGGTGAAAGAGCAAAGGTGAATGGGCCAAACCACTACAAAGTGGGTGAACACTAAGGACGTCCAAGGAGATTCAAAAACTCTTTGAGACATCTGAAAACAAATTTTTAGATTCACAAACTTTAATACATTCTAGCAAAAAAAAAAAACACCGTATTGGCTATTTTGGCACGTTAATTTTTGTGATATAAAACGCCCCTCTGACATAGTGTATGAGTCCATTGACCGTTGACCTTTTGACAAACAACAGGTTACTTACAGATTTAGCCAGCGCGCTAAGCGTTTTGGACCAGAATATCGGAAAACACAAGAGGAGAACCAAGCATTTCTGAACTGAAAGAGATCCTGAGTTATTTATGTCAAAGGACAAGCGAAGGTAGTACCGTTATTTGTATCTAGACGTCAACAAATCATATTTTTCTGTGATTATAATCCCCTGGACGAAACTGCACCCCTCCCTCTTGTGTACTACTTTATAATATCGTAGGCGTAAACACAAACCTTTGGCAGGTCATGATTTGTGTAAGTTTTTGTGACAACCATTCATAAATGACTTGTCAGTCCGCCATAATTTACTCAGAATATAAGGTGATATTTTGTTTCTAGCCATCCTAGATCTGTATGAAAAAGAAAAGGAAAGAAAGAAGATGCGGATGGCATATACTAACTTGCTAGCTAGGTACTAATTTTCACCTGATTCGAGTGAGGAAATAGGTGAATTCAGGTGTCTTTTGCAATGTGTCCAATTAAATGCATATACAGGCTTTTCACATGCGCCATGTTGGATTACAGTGTGTGTTACTTAATAAATTTACCCGCCAACACCTGGTTGCTGAGATTCATATGATAATCATAATGACATCAATGAAGAGCATCTATTGCCATGACTTATGATTAAAACCAATATTGATGTACCATATCTGCACAGCACCATGGGCTCTAACGGAGTGACCAACACTGACCCGGTCATCCTGGCCACGGCTGGGTATGACCACACCATCCGCTTCTGGCAGGCCCACAGCGGCATCTGTCACCGAACAGTCCAACATCCAGATTCTGTATCCTTTCTTTTGTGTATGCCAAAGCCGGGTATGTCAGGGTATTCAGTTAGCAGGACAATATATTATCCAGTGACCAATAATCTGGTGAGAGCAACAATAATCAGGTACTTGTAGCCTGCTTGGAAAAAAGGCACATACAGACCCCCTTATAAGATCTTTCAGAATATCTGCATCAGTTTATCTGGTATAACTGCCTTTCAGTGTAACACACAGCTTTGCAGGCATGTTGCTTATGTCAAACTGAATGGCCTGTCACACCTAAATAAGCTTTACACATCAAAGTTCTATCCTTGACCATCATCCCAGCAAGTTAATTCTCTGGAGATCACACCTGACAGACAGATGATAGCTGCAGCTGGTAAGTTCTGAGCAAAGTACGCACTTAATAGTTTAATCTTGAGATATTGAAAATTCGTGTCATCTTTTTATTGGTCTCTTTTTTGGAAGAAAGCATGAAGAATAGGGAAAGTAGATATGTTACATATAGGGAAGCAATGGACATTGGGGAAAGCCTAGCGAATGTATTGAAAATAAAGTGGAACCAATGCAGGTAACTACTAGTTGCAACCACTTCATGAATATTTATGCAATGCTGAAGCTGACAATAAATGTGTGATTTTTTCTCTGTGCTGCAGGGTACCAACACATCCGGATGTACGACCTGAACTCCAATAACCCCAACCCTGTGGTGAACTATGATGGCATCAGTAAGAACGTGACGGCCGTCGGGTTCCACGAGGATGGGAAGTGGATGTACACGGGAGGGGAGGACGCCTGTGCCAGGATCTGGGACCTCAGGTAAGGCCTAGGAAAAAAATGTAACAGTTGTGTTTCCTGTCTCCGGACCAACCCTAGAAATAGCTGCCGACCCTAGCCTTTTTTTGGGGTAAACCCCTCAAGGGACATAGATTTTTCAAGCTGATCAACCATTTCTTGCTCCATGATTTAACACCTGGGTGATGAAACGTTGTACAATTGGTTTTCCAACATTGACATTGAAAATAGAAGTGTGCTTTTGCAAGTTTTACTTTGATAAACTGTATTGTATAAATTGGATCACTAGAGATTGCCGAATTCTAAAAAAAAAGAAAGAAAAGAAAACCTCTACCTACCGACCTTGATATTTTCAGGATTGAAGCATTACACACAACATTTTTTCCTAGGCTTAACATGTGAACCATGTAGAGAATATATATGTGCTGGTATATTCTACTTATCATCTTTCTGCACCTATGATAGATGAGCAATTTTCAAAGAGTAAGGGAGAAGGGGAGAGAACCCTTACCTCAGACTTAACAGTCTGCCCTGTGCCTCCTTCTCTCATAGATCATCAGGCCTTTTCCTCCAGTGTGTCAAAGTTTGCTCCTCTCTTTTTGCTTCAAATGTGAGATAGATCTAGGAAAGAAAATTTCTTGTTTTCTCTAGTCTAAACTTTTTAAAACTCTTTTGACAGATCACGAAACTTGCAGTGCCAGAGAATATTCCAAGTGAATGCTCCTATCAACTGTGTGACTCTACATCCAAACCAGGTGAGATTATTACCAGCAAGCATTGTCAAGCAAATGGTAAGGCCATGTTGATTTGATTATATGGATGACATCCGCGCGCGCATGAATTTTCATCCGTTTAAAAAAAAGAAAAGTTTTCGACCATACTGTAAATCGTACAAAATGAGCAAATATATGTCGTATGTTGCAGAAAAAAGTATTTGAAAACGATACTTACGTCGTACAATGCCAAAATCAGGAAAAGAAGAAAATGTGAAGAGATTAAAATGAAGAGTCTAGTACTAGTATTATTCGCCATTCCATACTCTGTGTGTTTAGTCATTTGTTCAACCTTTATGACCACGTAGATTTCATACTGAAATGAAGGAAACATTTTTTGGCCAACCTTTTTTTATTCGCACGCTCGCATCAGTTTTGGGGTTCCCAGAGGATGTCATCCATATAATCAAATCAACATAGCCTAACAAACCGCAGAAGTTATGGAGAGGTAGGCAAGGAGGCTGATTTAGGCAGAAACAAAGTTGACTGGAGAAACAAAGAAGGAAGAGGAGACAACTTGCTAAAGAACATGCAACCTTCAGCCTTCAGACAGATTTTGGGAGTTTTTCAAAACATTTCCAAAATTTTTCCCAGAAAGATTTGGTTGGATTTTGGACAAACATTCATGTCTGTCACTCCTTGTCTCCATAGGAGGAAGAGATGGCAGTTTTCTTTCAATCATCATCTTGGATTTGTAAGAAAACAGACTGCAGATGTTTTAAACAGTTCCTTGTTATATTTGGTTGTTCCAGGGAGAGTTGATTGTTGGAGACCAGACTGGTGCCATCCATGTGTGGGACCTGAAAACAGACCACAACGAACAACTGGTAAACATAACATGTTGTTGTGCAGCAGAATCCTTTATATCATTGTTTGTACCAGTTTATTGACAAATTCGTTCAGATGAAACAACAATCTTTTGATTGATAGTTGCTTTACAAAGTAACTGTATAATGTATTGACAAAGACATACCAGTAGTTAAACAAACCTTTTGCGTTTGACATTCTTGACTGAAAGGAGTTTCACCCTACTGTGTTATCTGTCCCTAGATCCCAGACCCTGATGCATCCATCCAGTCAGTCAGTATAGATGCTGATGCCTCATACATGGCTGCAGTCAATAACAAGGTGAGAATCTTGGGGAAAATAGCATTACAATCTGTACTAATGTTTTACACTGTTGGAAAGACATTCTGAACTTCAAGCTTTGTGAACTTGTGAGGTCTTCCAAAGTCTTTTGTGGCCAAAATGTTGATGTGGAAAAGTACAAAAGAACAAAAAACAAAAGAATATTATAAATTTGACGATATTGTGATAAGCGTTATTGGCAAAGGTAAAGATGTCATTCAAATATGTGTGAGAAGAGTTTCAATTTTTGCTGAGGTTTCAAATTGCGCTGATCAACTAGAAATTTAACATTTGCAAAGCAAATGCATAATGTTTACCTTCGCATGGCCTGCTCTGTTAATTCTTACTCAAACACATTCATACATATGGTGACAGGAGTCCAAATCCCTCCTGCTATAAAATTGCAACATGATGTAACCCAACACTAGTTACCATGGTGATAGACTGTATGGCCCAGGTCATTGACGTTTGTGTTTGAAAAAGAGGAAACTGAGCAAAAACAATATATTTTCCTTTGGTAAACATAAAAATATACTGATAAACATGCTTAGTAATTTTTCCCCCAGGGCATGTGTTATGTGTGGACCCTGTCAGGAGGGTCAGGGGAGGAACACACTCAGCTGCTCCCTAAAACAAAGATCCAGGCTCACAAGAGGTACGCACTCAAGTGCAAGTTCAGCCCAGACTCCACGTAAGTACAATTTCCTACAATACATGTAGATTTTGATTTAGTCTTTGGTCACTGTTATATTATAATTAGTAGACGTATAATTCATGCTGGTGAGGACATACATGTAGCTAGAAAGGTTAAATATTTGAAAAGCAAATGCATAATTCTACCTTCGCATATATGGTCTGCTCTGTTATTACATACTGTTAATTCTTACTCAAACACATTCATATATATATATAGGCAGACAGGAGTCTAAATCCCTCCTGCTATAAAATTGCAACATGATGTAACCAACACTAATTACTATGGTGACAGACGTCTGGTCCTATTCATTGACCTTATTTGTTTGGAGAAGAGGAAGAAGAAGAAGAAACAGAAACAGAGCAAAAACACTATGTTTTGCTCCTGTGAAGGTAAACATAATAAGACTTAAAGGAGGCTTATCTGAAGACAGTTCTCATTGATCTTGTTCCTTGCAGACTTCTGGCGACCACGTCTGCCGACCAATCAGTGAACATCTGGCGAACGACAGACTTCTCGCTGAAGTGTAACCTGGCGCTGAAGAACAGCACGTTGACAGAACAGGTGCAGAAACGCTGGGTGTGGGACTGTGCCTGGTCCAGCGACTCACAGTATCTCGTCACAGGTAAAAAACGTCATATTCTCTGGATCTTGATCTTTGTGTGCATCTCTGTGTCGTTGTGTGTGTTTGTGTGTCTGTATATGTGTGTCTGTAAATGTGTTTCTTTGTCTTAATCTGTCTGTGTCTGTGTGTGTGTCTATATCTGTGTGTGTATCGGTGCGCATTTGTGTCTGTGTATATCTGTGTAAATTTGTCTGTGTGTGTGTCTGTATATGTGTTTTTGTATGAATCTGTGTGCCTGTCTGTATCTGTGTGTGTATCTGTATGTCTGTGGGTGTATATCTTTGTGTGAATCATCTGTGTGTATATCTGTGTTCATTTGTGTCTGTATTTGTATAAAACACCAGCTTTGTGTGCCTACATAGTCATTTTGGGATGTATGAGTTCATTCTCTATCATCTATATTTACAGTGTTAGCAATTTTCAATCTTGCTGAATCTAAACTCTTTGATACCCAATTGGTATCAGTTACAGTTTCACTGTTAGGCAGCAGAGAGAATGTTTATTAAGTGAGCCAGTTCAGACCATTTCTGTCTGTCACCGTGCTATAAGAGAAAGATGATGGCAAAGATTTTAACGTTCAGTTCTTTCCCTCGGTTGACAGCTTCGTCAGACAACATGGCCCGTCTGTGGGCGGTGGAGCAGGCTGAGGTAAAGCGTGAGTACAGCGGACATCAGAAGGCCGTTATATGTCTGGCCTTTAACGACTGCCCACCAACTTAATTAAGTTAAACCTGCACTGGTTAACATAAGATAGAACTAATACATGTATCAGTAAAAGTTAGTAATTGTTCTGTTATGTATGTTTAAGCAAATTGTTTTAATGAGTTAAACTGTGTAATGTGTATGATGTTATGAACCGATTTGAAGGGTACTGTTTGGTACACATGATCATGATGTGTTTGGGTTTTGTTGTGCTGTAAAGCAGCACCACCTAGCAGGTTGTGCACATACTGCAGGAAAAGCAAATTGCAAACTTGATTGCTACGGTAGTTTGAATTTGTGCAGACTGGGCGCGACAAGTATGTTGATTGTACGGGATCGGCAAGCTTTCTTGCTTTTATTTGTGCCATTCTACAAAGTGTCAAGTGGATGATGTTTATTTAACTCATGCCCATATCATGCCCAAGTGCATATGGATATACTTATTATCATCATTAAAAATGCAGATAAAATGAAAAACGATGCTCTATAAACTTCCTTTAGGTAGTATCTATGTTAGACAAAAAGAAACAGCAAACAAAATAGGTACAGCTGGTGCTTTCTCCACCCCTTCCCCACTGATACAGATCAATGATTTCACACATTTATAGCATGTTGTGATGCTGGGATCTGTCCAAGGTACTAGACAGTCATCCAATCAGTGCTCCTGTTTTTTTCTCAACCCTTCCAAGTTCTAAGTAAGCATAATGAATGAGTGAATAAATAAATGAATGAATGAACAAATGAATGAGTGAACAAATGGTTTATTCAGGTTAAAATCCCTCGCAGCCATTTTGCTGAACTGTGGATTTCCTAACAAAACTTGGTGCTTTCTAAAAGACAATGGTAGTAGCATTTACAGTCATGATAATATATAATAAGTCCTTTCCTTATCACGGTTTCTTTAGGGCAGAAGATGTTCTCACTCATATTTTAGGGGGTGGCTGATGAGCAACCTTAAGGCCACACCAATTTAATTTCTTGGTTAATGGATTCGCCCGCTTCATTTTTTTCTGATTTGCAAATAAAAATGAAAATTCAGAACCAACTGCAAAATGCTCATATTTTGCCCTGAACAGTTGAAAACAGTCCTTTTCATCCTAGTTGTTACAGTTATTCCATCTTTCAATGCATTGTTATCATTAAAAGTTCAAAATTCATTGTTTACATTTTGAACCAGCCTGGTGTGTTGACTTCATTGCTCCTATTGTACCATTTTGGGCCATAATAGGATGCCTACGCCTGTTTTTATTTTTTTCGCCCGCCCGCTCCATTATTTTTCTAGAAAAATCCGTTAACCAAGAAATTAAATTACGATGATGAAACGTTTTTTGTTTTTGTGTGAACACAACTAATTTTGAAAAGCCATTTGACAATTGCTGAAGGAACAATTGAAAAGGAGCACTTTCCAATGACATCCTTCTGCTTATTCCAATGACCGTATGACAATGAACTTTATTGTATATTCACGCCATACACGGCCAAATGCACTAAGTTAGATAACTTGGGTACAAGAATAGAAGAAGCAATTGTTACATTTTTATGCTACATCTCTATCTACAGGATCTAACTACGGGATCTCTTCTCTCTTGGTACCTACATTGTAGTCAGCTAAGTCTGCTGCATTCTCATATGACCATCTTCTTTCTCATTGAACATTCCCAACACCTTACTGACTTCGGTATGTTTTGACCCGTTGTAACCATGTTACGACCCTCCTGCCACTGCTCAACACCTTACCTCAGACAAATAGCAACATGAGATTTATAAAAGGTCTGCTTCCTCTTAGTCACGGACATTTGTTTCAGATTGAAGATTCCTCAAGATTTCAGCAGGGTCAAGGGCCTCTTGATGGGCTATCCACTGGATTACTGTCATACCGCAGGGCTTGAAATACTGGGTACATGTGCACCTTAGTGCACCCAAATTTGGAGCTGTGCACCCAATTTTTTTCTGTGGGTGCTCCAGTGCACCAAAATATTTTGAAATTCGTAGGTTTACGTATGTAAAGATGTTAAACGTGAAATAGAATACAGCGTATTCTTAAGTGTCAGAAAAATAATAAAAACATTGTAGTAGCACTTTTCTTTAGAAATAAAACATATTAGCTTTTGCTAACATTCTACTGTCTTTAATATTTTATTTTAAGTGGTGCACCCAAATTTCTTTTTGTACACCCAATTTTTTAGGTTGGGTGCACCAGTGCACCTATTCCCAGAAATGGATTTGGAGCCCTGCACCGTGCAACCTCAATGTCACCATGGGAAACTGGTTCAATATCCCTGCCTGTACTGTGTGCAGTACTGTGGTAAAGCCCACTTTCAACTCATGCAGATGATGTGATTATAGGTCAAAGATGTTACATTCAGCCTTTTCATCATTTTATTACCTAGCCTTTCTGTTGTACATGTAGGTAAAGTCTTTTCTTTGTGGACAAAATTTGATATTTCTGCTATTAAGACACTACGATCATTGGGTTACAAAGTTGTTTAGTTATATGATGTAGAATTTCCCAATACTGCAGACTTTTAAGGAGTACTGTTACTGTATTAGTTATTTCTGTTATCATCATTATTTTTGTCTTCAAATTTAAAATAAAAATTCTTTAAAGTGGACAGTCTGATACTACAGAAGCTTCAAAACATTCCACCAGGTTACTGGTAGTTTTGCAATTATAACTAAAGAAGTTTAGAATTTAGTTTTAATGTTCATTCTGTGAAGAGTCCCCATGGGTACAGTATAGGGAACCTTGGGTACAATATAGGGCACCAGCCTGTCTGTACACATGTATCTGTATCTGTATAGCCGGTATAACCGCCTTTCGGCGTAACACACCAGCTTCACAGGCACGCGGCAGCTGGCTACATTACACCGATCGATTTGTTACACCTAACCCTTGAACATCTAACTCTAGACATTGTTTAAAGCTATCTAATGACCAAATGCCCCTTCTGTACTTGGTAACAGCGAGTTCCACTCTGCGATACTTCTAGGAAAGAATGAATTCTTGAACACCTCAATCCTCGGTTGATAACTCTGGTCTATAGTTCCGTGGAAAACCACAGCCCTGTAGCATCTTGCCCTAGTTTCCCACTTGATGTTAGATCAGTCCTTGATAAAGTGCATCAGGTGTCATCAGCAAGAGATCCCCAGCGCTGTATATACATGTACCACTGGGATCAATGTAAGTATACACGATACCAGTGTCAAATCTTTCCCATCTAAACCCCTATCACTTACTATACAGTGTGATTTCTTTTAAGGCCACACTGACTTAATTTTATGGATGACATCCTCTAAAGACCCCAAAACTAATGCGAGCGGGAGAAAAAAAATGCGAGCAGACGAAGGCCAGCAAAAGAAACGAATGCTGATAAACCACAGGAATTGTGAATTGGTATTGCGAATTTGTGACTTCTTTTACAACAAGCCGTCACATGCTGGCCTTTTGCAGTATTTATGAGTCGGCATCGTACGGAGTTTTAGTGTTCTGTGGAGCCTCTGTAGCCTGGGTGCCATTCTCCGTACTTACTGTACCACCCTATTGTCGGTAGCTACCATAGTCCATGGAGCAACAACTGGCTACATCATTCCCTTACCTCTGTGAGCGTATGAACTAGTTGCACTTTATTTTAGGCCTAAGTGTTCTGTGTCTTTATTTGGTATTCCTTGATGTGATAAGCACAATTAGCCGCTCCGCCAGCCTTATCTTCTGTCCCACTTAAAGGAGTGGAGTCGGTGTTCCTCTGATGACTGGGTTCTCTCATCATGGAAACCCGCTATCAATCTCGGTAAGGTTTGGCGTTAAATCCCAGACCTGTGAGTTTGAAACGCTGGCTTTATGATGGTATCTTTAGACTTGTGCAGAGCCAACTAAGACAGAGACCACTGGACATGGAGACTTTCCGTCCAAAGGGGAAGGTACATGTAACACAGACACAAATTTGGTTTGGTTTGGTTTGGTTTATTAAAGATCTCCATTAGTGAAGACGATCACTAGTCTTCCTGGAGTCTATTAAAATAATACAAAATATAACAACGGAATACAATAAGATTATACAAAAAAATTAACAGAAGACTAACATAAACTGAACTGAAAATCACTTTTAATTAATAATCAAAAATACATGTAGTAGAAATCAATTGCACAACGAGTTTTACAACCAAATATCTATTTGATTAACAGAGAAATTTTAGGGAGTAATGAACCATATAAAGAGTTTTTGTATGAAATTTCTCGTAAAAGTCGGTGCTTCAATAACTGACTGTTAACCTTGATGCAACGTTAACACTTTTCAAAGAAACGTGTTTTTCACTGTACCGTAAGGCTGTAGCTATCTAGCTATCTAATACAGAACATGGTCTTTACCTCAGCTAACTTCCACTGATTCATTCAATTCTTGTTGAACCAAGAAACCTCGGATGTTTTATCTGCAGGAGGTGGCGATCCGCGAGCCGTTCACATTACCAGACAATCCATGGCGTAAATGGTCCCGCGAAAAGGAGCCAAAATCGATATATATTAAGTCTTCTTTTTATCGCCGACCTTTTAAAACCCCGAGAGTATTTTCACCAAAAACTTTTTTTCTGGTCGTATTCACGGTATATTCAATATAGTGAAGTTAGCGTGACGGAGAAAGCCCCCGGGCTAAAGTGCGCCGTAAAATCGGATTCAGTGGACCGTTCTAGTCGGTTTGACTGCTGTTGGAAGGCCGGTATTGATTGGTTGGGGAGCCGTGAGCGCCATAGGGAAGGCTGGACGTGTGCAGACTGTACATAGGAGCGGAGGTATCTCGTACACTATCGCATCGTGATGATATCGCATGATGTTTTAAACGATTTCAATGATTTCTTGGCGCAGGACACAGATTGAGTAACACCTCCTTTTCAATTGGAGTCCACAAGATGCTGCGAAACATTTGACAGGCCACATCGATGGATTTTTTAGAAAACGAATCTTTTGACGTTTTGTATGTGTCTAGTTGTCTTTTAAATCATACTCTTATATCTTGCATCATCTGTAAACTTAAGTAACGAAAGTTTGTTAAATGAAAGCAGTTTAGGGCGCTCTAAATTTACATATTTGAACATATGTCTGGCAAAGATCTACAAGTACATCCTAGGCGTACAAACGCCATATTTTGCCTGTTGATATTAAAGCATCTCCATATGTAAGAACAAGTAGGGCAGATATACATGTAAGAAAAAAACATGTTCCAAGGAGCAAGGAGAGACCTTTACTTCTCGACACCTGTCAGCTATAGATCTTGTACCACCCTTGGCAGTGCTTATTCCGATCCATTTATGCAGACACTCTTTAAATCGACGAAAAAGCAGGCCTGAAAAAACTCTGAACTGCCCCTGGGCCTAAGAGGCAAGATAAGGCTCTCAGTCGGCATTGATTCCGACTGTCTGTGCCGAGAAGACCTGGCCGGACTTACTACAGGTGTCTGGATACGTCGCTCGGGAGTTTTACGCCTCAGCAATCGGAGAGGACGCTCCAAAGTGGAAGTGGAAACAACTTAGACCGACTCGACTTCGATTTTTCGTGACTTTGATCAAACACGGACGAGTCCGACTAGAAAGGCCTGTAAGGGCGATGTCTCCTGAAGATTGCACGGGCGGGGAGGCAACAAATGGAGGGAACATCTCAAGGGAGTCCGCATGCTTAGCACGTTTCCGGCTAACGTATCCTAAAAGCCTTTGAAAGGGTGTAAAAAGGGCCCGTGTTTGACAGTATATATTTCATCCCCGGCCTTTTTCAGCGCGGAAAATAGAGTGTTGTGCTATTTTAGGGCATCAAAAGCTTTTTAAAAGTCATTTGATATATTGTCCTTGCTGCTTCCCAACTATTTCTGTTGCATTTCCAAACCTATTTCCGTCGTGACAAAATGCATTGTCAGCGGAAAATCTGATCTCAGGTTATGACCTTATTGATATTCTTTTTAGAATGTCATTATTCATCAGTCCAGTGTGATTTTAACCAATTCATGACAGTTTATGAAGTTACTTGTGATGAAGTGGTGGATCGGTCAACTTGTCTGTAAGCGCTAAGAAGACCTCAAAACGTTGGTGTTCTCTTAAACCTGGTTGGCGCCAGTGCATCAGTCAGACCTATTCCTCATGTCACACAGTTGTTAGATTTAATCCCACACTCCATCTGGCATTTCGTTATCTATTGGAGGCGATACCACAAGGAAGTAGGCAGTTGGGAGTTGACTTGACACTGCCCATCCTTCACAACAGCTGGAAACGAGACTGCTGAGAATAGAACACTGCAAAACACGTCTATTTCGAAATACCATTTGAAAGATGTGAAGGGCAGAGCTTTACTGCAGGCCAGTGACCGATACACACAGTGTTTTACTGTACGTTACTGTAGTAACTGGATAACGGTGTTCACCGTTAGTCAGTATCTACTGGGCTGAGATGTTCTCCCCACATACTGAGAGAAACTGCTGAGAGTAGCACACCGCAAAACACGTCTATTTTGAAATACCATTGGAAAGATGTAAAGGGCAGAGCTTTACTGCAGGGAAGCAACCGATACACATAGCGTTTACAGTTACTGTAGTAACTGGATAACGGTGTTCACCGTTAGTCAGTATATACTGGGCTGAGGTGTTCTCCCCACATCCTGAGAGTAACGCTGGTAACAATTTTACTGTCGCCAAGATAACGGCATAGAGATGCTTATGTATGCAGGCAAGACCAGGGAGATGTACGAAGTCGTCTAATGAGGTGTGGTTACAATCGTCGTAGTCCGTCGGACGATTTTGATGCCGTAGTTAAACTGTTCAAGCAGTAACAGAACCAAGTGCCGACAAGGGTCCTTAACAAGACAGTAAAAGTTTTCAGGACATAGGCACGGCCATCACAAGAAGGCATCCATTTTGCGATCGTACAGCGAGCGTACGGTGAATGTGATAGAGCCCTTGTCATGTTTACCGAAGGAAAACATATTGTTTTTTCTCAGTTTCTTCCTCTTCTTCTCCAAACCTAAAAGGTCAGTGACCTGAACCAGACGTCTATCACCATGGTAACTAGTGTTAGGTTACATCATGTTGCAATTTTATAGCAGGAGGGATTTAGACTCCTGTCATATATATGAATATGTTGGAATAAGAATTAACAGAGCAGACTATATCCGGAGGTAAACATTATGCATTTGCTTTGCAAATGTTACCTTTCTAGTTACCAAGTACAACTTCTGTGGCAAAGTTTGCCACACGGCAGTGACGGTACTTTTGAAAAAAAAAATCTGTAAACTTTGCGGCATCAGTCCTATGAGAATAGGTTATGAATAAAACCCAGGTTTAAGCGTCAGATATTGACTTTATAACGGCAGAACAGTTCCCAAACTACCCGGTACAACTGCGGATCCATTTTACGAGATCGATGGAGATCATAAACAAACGTCCTTTATATTCGTTTGGACGTTTCTGATGCCAGCTGCAATGGAATCCGAAGTCCCCAGAGGGGAACACCATCTGTCTACGGACTTCACTCAGTAAGTTTTTCTAGATCACATTCAGGAAGCAAATGAGCTTTCTTTGTAGCAAAAATAAAAGTAATACAGCCATCCTTGAGCTCAATTGAGGTGAAGTATATGCTGCTTTTTCTTTTGTCTAGCTAGTGGTAGTGCGACGCGGCTTCGCTACTTCTACTCTTGATAAGTGTGCTGGGCTCTTTGACGTTCAGAGGTTTAACACTTGAGACTAATTCCTGAAGTTCCCCCTTACACGGCGCTGCCGGATTTACGTCACCATCTGAAGCAAGCAGGTGACCGACTAGTAGATCATTCGACGACTTAGACCCCGTTCATACCAGACTTTTAAAAACCGGTTGATACCGCTAACTAATTAGCGTAGGAAAACCCGGCTAAAACCCCTAGCGTTCATACCAGACTTTACGTGACCGGTTTTGTCAACATCCTGTCCGGTGAATATCCGGTTAATCGGCCATGATTGCAGTTTGAATAATAACCGTTCCTCCCGCTCTTCCGATTTTTGGCCTTTGCCTTCTTGTATGCCGTCTTCATAGCTACCTGACGTTACCTGTTACAACCTTGAGAACTTGTGTCTTTTAGAATGAATAGATCCTTGACGTGTCTCCGAATCCCATATCTTTATGTTCCATCCACATTGCCATAAGTGATTGTGATAGCAACAAAACACTACTCCAAGAACTGCACACTCTCATTGCGATTGAATGGCATTTTATTTGTCTACAAAGCACAAAGCACGTCTGCACTCCAAGTACACACCAATTACACAATAGTCATGTTACTACACTGCCTAACACAATTAAAGATCAGGCTACTGCACTCTACCAACAGTTAACACTGTATCAATGAACAAAATCACCATTCGTAATTAAGGCCCGGTCACACTGGCCGAACTTTGCTGGAGCGTTCCTTTAACGGTAGGGACGGGGGCCGAATTTCGACAACGCTCGTCACCGCGCCCAAAATGTGGGGGAAAAATAAAAACACGAGCGTTGACTTAGCGGTGTACCGCTGAAGCCGACGTTGCTTTAGCGTTGGTTTAGTGGTAGCGAACGTTGGTATAGCGGTGACGCAAGCGTTGGTATAGCGGCGTTCTGCGCATGCGGTTTAGCGGCATACCGCTTGTGACTACGGAGTTGAACGGATCGTTTTGTAGTAGTACAAGTTCTGTTCTGTGTGTGGGGGGACTTATAGCTTTAATAAACATCATTTTGTTAATCTATTCTTGACTACGTTATTTAATTAATGATGAAAATAAAACTTCCCCTAAAAGTTTCCCTGTAACCCCAATAAAGTGATTGCCCGGGTGACCCTTCTTTGAACATTTTACGTGTGGCCCCAAAATAATTGCACACTAGTGCACCAATCATAGCAAGTCTCTCAGCATCCAGGGTGATACAGTTTTACTGTAACTTCGAGCAAATTCGATATAGATGAGGCCTGAACTCAACGGCAGCTCGATTCCAAATGAGCACCTGGTCCATTTCTCACCGTACTTATAGCCAAATTCTGGTCCCGCTCCGACACGTCTATACCAACGCCAAACCAAAGTTCATTGCCGACATGGATCGCTGCTTCAACGCCTGACACCGTTCCAGCAACCCCGTGTCCGCTCGTAAAACGCTTGCAACCGCTCCAGCGAAGTTTGTGCAACGTTTGTGCAACGTTTAATCGCCGCCCGGGCAACGCTGGCGAAGCAGCGGTGGTCAAGCGTTCAAGATTTCTGCGTTGGCCTAGCGGACCCAAGCGTCCACGAACTTGCGTCTAGCGATGCCAAACTTTGACTGGGCGTTGGTGGAGCGGGGGTGAACTTTGCCGGAGCGGAAAATTTCCCCCTCCTCACCGCTCGCAATATTTTGTGCAGCTCAAAACTTTCGGAGCGGTGAGGAGGGCCCTCCAGAAACGTCAGCGGTGGCCGGGCGTACACGGCGTTGCTTTAACGGCGGCCAACTTCTGTTTAGCGGTGGTGAGCGGTTTCGAGCGGTGATGAATTTTATTCACCGTTCAAGCAACGCTCCAGCAAAGTTCCGCCAGTGTGACCGGGCCTTAACTACGATGATATTTCATAGTCTGTTGAATAATTGATATCGCAAACATCCACAAATATATATAGAATATGTGATTCCGTTAAACTACAAATCAAAGGTGTTCTGGACTATGTACACCTGATGCAGCTCGACTGCCTTATAAACTTTTTACTGATCAGTCAGACACCGTGGCAAACGCTGCATATTCAAGGCTAGATTTCTCCAAAAGGTTGCTTTCTTCTTCCGTGTGTGGTCTTGGAAAGTGGCTTGGCGTTTTGCATCATCATTAAACAAGCTTTAGCGCGTTGCTAGCTGCTTTTGGTAGCTGTTCACGTGTCCAACTCTCAAGTCCACGTGCCTTTAGATTGTGATCACTTGCAGGATATCTCACAGGCCTCTGCTGTTGATACAACTTACACCTTACATCGACGACTAGTTTTCTTTGAAAGTTTTACAAAGCAAGAACCAACGCAAGGCACTATACCATAGGGCGCCATGTGCACACGAGTTGGACGGTTGTTCCTGCAGTTTCGAGTTAAGTTTCGAGTCATGAAGTTGCTATTTTGCAATATTTTGTGTCAAGTACTTGGTGGTGGGCCGAGTTGACCAGGACTTGACCAGATTTGCGATGGGCCGAGTTGGTAATGGTCCGAGTCGTGCTGACTCCCAGTTTCAGATCCCAAAGAGCCACGGCGCGCATGCAATGTTCTACCCTCCCGTTCTGCCGATTACACGGTGTTCCTGGTGACAGTTTGGTGACTTTCGAACTGACTGACTGAGTCAGAAGTACTTGCTCTGTGACTATCTTCGTCCTTGCTTTTAGTGGAGACCTTAACCACGTGAGTTTGTCGGTCTGCACTGCGTCCAGACAGGTCGATGCATATGTTCAGACGTCTGTGGTCATCGTGGATGCGGAAGGCAATGACCTGCGGTTGTGTCATAATATAGTCAGTCTCTCGGGATATCTGTTAACGATGGCGGTCTGGTACGACATGGGGTATCCCTCCTCCTCGGCAGCGGCGGCGGGGTTGATGGTAGAATTCCGGGCCTTGTACTCTCCGAGGAACGGGTACCCTCCCTCTGGGTGAGTCGAGGAGTTCCGCATCTTGTAGCCTCCCAGGGAGTTGCTGGAGGGGCTTCGCGGCGCGTACGGACCGTCGTTGGAGAGGCTCCTGCAGGGGTAGCCGGCGTGGTCGTACGTGGAGCCCCGGGGAGTGGGCGGGGCGGAGAGACACGGGGCCGGGTACATGGCCCGCCTGGCCACGGCGTGTCGGCTTCGCGCCTTCTCCTCGTCATCGCTCATGTAGAGTCTGATGAACAGGTAGATGGAGAGGACTCCCGACAGTTCCGTCAGGCCGAACGACATGGCCGCCATGAAGAAAGACCAGCTGTACTGGTAGTGGAAGGACGAGTCGGCGTTCTTCTTGTCCCGGTGCATCACCTCGTCATTGATGGCGGAGATATACACGATTAGACCCACGACGGTGAACAGACCTGCAGCAATGAGAGCAACAACCGTTAAAATATCAGAAATGTTTCTAGTGGGGTCTTGTGGCGTAACGGCAGAGTGCTTGACTCAGAACCAAGAGATCCTGGGTTCGAGCCCTGACATGCCACCGATTATGTGATCATACCACCGAAAGGCACTTTAGACGACTTTCCTCACTTTGCTCAGGTGAAAATGAGTATTGTATTGCCCCCTGTGTTGGTGGCGGCATTAATCAATTGAATAAACTCGAGTGTGTCGTCACCACGTCGTGTGTTTACATATTGAAATAAATAAATAAATAAAAATATTCTCTGTTCCGTTCTGGTGACACGAGAACACATATTAGTCTCCACCAGACTTCTTTTGCGGGGTGCATAAATCGTAGAAATCGGCCTAAAAAGGGTATTAATTGGCCAGAGAAGATAGCCGGCCAGAGAAGCCTTGGCGGGGCAATG